ATTGGACATAAAAGCAAAACAGATTTGATTGATTTATGTTCAGTCACTCCTTCTTAGCACTTAAAAAATTAAGGCTTAATCATGCACAACGAAGGAAAACAATGCTTACTAACCAAAAGTAAAATAATCTTGGGAACGTCCTCCTAGAATATTAAATTAAGGCAACAAAAAGATTGTTTAAGTTAACGTGTATTTGTGCATTTAAAACATATTTGAAGTTTTCAGTTGTTTTTGGCCTTGAAACATTGAATGTCACCAAAATATCAGAATTCCAGAACTCAGAGGGTTAAGAGGAAAGGCGTTATTTCAAGTGCTAAGTCAACAAACTATTATTAACAAGCAAAATCTACCACCACTGTGTCTGTCATTTGCTTGATTATCATAATGCTGAACCTGGTTGATGTTTACTGGTTTCTCCTTGGCTGAAAGAGTGGTAAAGAGCCCAGGTCTCAATCACTTCCCAGTAACACAGAAGTGAGCTTATCCGCACATTTTCCTAAGGCCTCGCTACTATCTGAATATTTGTGTGTCCCCAAACTCACATCTTGAAGTCCTAATCCTCCATCTGATAGTATTTGTACATAGAGTTTTGGCTAATTATATCATGAGGGTGGAACCTTCGTGAATGGGATTAGTGATCGCAAAGAGACATGGGAGTGATTCTCTCTCTCTCTCTCTGCCATGTGAAGATATGGCAAGAAGAGGCTCATCTGCAAACCAGAAGAGGGTCCTCACCAGGAACCAAATCAGCTAGCAACTTGATCTTGGACTTCTCAGCCTCCAGAATTGTGAGAAATAAATGTTTGCTGTTTAAGCCACCCAGTCAATGGTATTTGATGTAGCAGCCTGAGCTAAGAATGATAGTTTAAGCTGTGTTCACCTGGTGTCCCAGATGAAGATGTGTGTGGGGGTGAGTGGGGGTAAAGAAGAAAGAATGTAAGAGAAAATTAAAATATATGGGAATTTTGATATGCACTTAGTAGGTGAAGAGTAAATCAGAGACTCATAAAGTATTAGATCTGGGATGTAACAAGCCCTTCCTTTAAAGGTGAGGAAATGGGCACAGGTATATGAATTGAATTGCTCATGATCACAAGATGACTTAGAAAGATAAGGAGGAAGATAAAGCACAATAAGTGAAATTATAATTATATATTTTTAAATATTGAGAAGATAATTGATTTGTAATAGAGTCTTGTTTTGTTTTCTTACTTGACATTTGTCCCAAATTTATATTTATGGCCAATGGCAAAATATGTATAGCAGCAAGCTCAAAATATGACCTTTAGGGAAGTCTTAGAAACAAGCCAAAGATTGGAATGAACTATAAGACTCTGGGACAAAGTCAGGGATCTATGATAATTTTACACTGAATTCTGAGTTCAATGTGTTCCTTTCCCCAAAAAGAAGCATTCTGTCACTCATTATGTCAAGACTCTCCTTGAATTCTATTAATAATGGAAGAAATGAAGTGGAGAAGGGGATATGAAAGAGCATCACAGGACAAAGCCATCTCTATATTGGGGTTACAGCTTCAACCAAGGGAAAGTGTCAGAGATCTGGAAGGAAAATAAAAGAATATGGGACATAGCAAGATATCTTTCTCAGGCATAATGACCTCTATGATCTCTCTCAAGCTGCAGAAGTTCTAGTCCCATTTCACACTGTTCTGGTTTCGGGTAACAAAAATGAAAATTGAACTAGCTTAAGGAAAAAGGGGACATGAAATGGCCACAGGAAGAGCTTGGATATTCTCCAGATCCATCTGAGATTTTGATTCTTTCAAACAGTAGCTCCATTCTCACCACGGCTTGGTTATTCCTATATAGAAGGAAAGAAAAACTAGATGTGAAGTTTTAGATCTCAAAAGCTATCCATGAAAGACTGGATATAAACTCTTTATTTCATTCATAAAAATGCCAGATAAAGGACTCAGTGGAAATCCCATCCAATTAACAGTGACCAAGGCATTTTACTTGGTTCAACTTGGTGTTTTGAGTGGTCCAACTTAGAGCCAGGGAGGGGGTTTGTTGCAGCCTGAAGGTAGATCCAAGTTAAACATGTAGAACTGAGGAAAGGGCCGTTTCTAGAAAATGGGCACTCAGCAGATAATTCCAGGTATTCATCCGTGGCTTGCTAAGTAACACATTGAGTTACCCACATAATTTTTATGCAGGTTGCGAGTAACAGCAACACATTCTAGTTAGGTCCCCTAATAGGGATTTATTATCAAGCTATATGGAAAAGTAAAGAAATACAGAGATCCATCTTGGCCTCCAACAATCCAAGTATCATGTCCTTTCTACATCAGCTAGTAAATATTCCCTACTCTAGTGTTTGTTTCTTATAACGACTTAGATGAGATGGGAAGCAAATGAGGGTAGACACTGAAAAAACTGATTCTTGACTCTAGCTCATGACTTCTTTCTTATCCTCTGGCTTGCCCATATAGGGTACTATCTTCCTGTCTACATTTAAATTTATCTGAGCTAGAATCTGATTGGGTAGACAAGGCACCACCAAATATATCACGCTTTTTTTGGCGAAAGCTTTTATTATTATTTTTTTTCATTTTATAGGCTGCTGTTCAGATATTCATCTGTAGCCACATATCTAAAATTGTTGTTTCAGTGTTAGAACCAGTAAAATGGGGATCAAGGCAGAACAAACAGAATTAGAAGGAAACTGAGGGTATGTTGGGTAATTTAATAGGTGAATACCTTGTATGGGCTGTTTAATATCCACAAAAATATATACTGTTTTTATAAACCAACAAATATTAATGGAAAATCCTCCTTTGTCAAGAATTATTCTAGAAGATATCGGTGAGACCAGGACATATAGAAGATACTCTGTCATATAAAAGCTATTAAATTGACAGGGGAACAAAAACTGTCATAATTGACACAACTATAAAGAAAATCCAAAATATTCAGGCCATTAAGTTTTTGCCCCTCAATTTAAGCTAAAATATGCAATTCATTTATTCACTTTGTCTTTTTGTTGTTGTTGTTGTTGTTGTTGTTAGAGATAGAGTCTTGGTCTGTCTCCCAGGTTGGAGTGCAGTGGCATGATCATAGCTCACCGTAACCACTAACTCCTGGACTCAAGCAATCATGTCCCACCTCAGCCTCCCAATAGCTAAGACTACAGCTGTGCACCACCATACCCAGCTCATGAAAAAAAAAAAAAAAATGGTAGAGATGAGGTCTCACTATGTTGCCCAGGTTGCCTATCTGGAACTTCTGGCCTCAAGGGATCCTCCCACTTCAGCCTCCCAAAATGCTAGAATTACAAGCATGAGCCACAACACCTGGCCCATTCCTTCACTTCGTGCAACATAATTGGCATCAGAAACGAGACCTTTTTTTTTTTTTTTTTTTTTTTACTACAGAGACTTAAACTTTTCCAAAAGCAAGACATTTTGTTTTTCTCATTTAAATTGTCGTTCTAGGGACGGAAAGTAAGTTTTGAAAAGAAGTAGCTTTTATGGAAGAGAGGTGCCTTAGAATTTCAAAAAGATTTAAGGAAAGGGGAATGAAGAGAGATTGAATGAAAGAAGAGAAAACAGAGAGAAAGAGAAATAAATAAGAAAACAAAGATAATCCCAAAGAGCAGTGTGCACAGTTCTGCTGCAATCAGTACCATTATGGTCAAGTCACTGTCATCTGCTCTAGTTCCTTCCTGCCCTAGGCTGCTTCTGGTAAAACCGCATGCTCAGCTTGTTTGGCGTCTTCATGGAGCCTGTTATTTGATGTGGGTCTAAGAAAGGGAAAGCTTCAGGCTTCAGGCATCTGTATTTCCTATCTGTTCTCAGCTCCATGGAAATTCTTAAGGGATGGAGCTATAGATAAGAGAGTGGGAAATGGAGATCCAGGTCTCAAATGAAAGGCAGGGTGGTTTGATTTTTAAGCTCCCCTGATACTTTTTATTTATATATTTGCTGCTTCTAGAAAAACCAAAAAAGGAAAGTGATTCATACATAGAATGCCTGTACAAATAGTAACTAATAACTTACTACCCCCAGGAGATTCTGGCCCTTGCCAGGGTGCGGTTTCAGAGCTGTAAAAGGCAAGGGATATGAACACTTATATGACCCGGTCCCAGAATATTTTAGATTCAGAAAAGGTCAGAGACTTTCATAACTAGCAATGACCTCCGGATTAGGGACCATGAATGTGCAGAGTGAAGACAAGGAAAGGGCCTAAAGCTGGGTCTACTGTAGAAGCAGCAGAATCATTTAAGGTTAATTATGTTCTGATGTGGCCTCCTTAAACACTTTCAGGTTGAGACAATTTCTAGCCCTTTAAGATTAAATCAGTGGCTTTGGACTAGAATCTGCTTAATAAGAATGAACTCCAAAGGTGAAAAAAACATAAAATCTAAAAATCAAAGGATATGGCTTTATAAATGTGAAATTTTAGTTTGGCTCAATGTTGGTCAGTTTGGAAATGTGGGAATAACCGGAGAGATGGCATAACTGGGGGCGGGAGGCGGGGCGGTGATTATATCCCTACCACCACCTAATCCGCAGGGGCTACTAGTTACTTACTGTGCACACTTTTAAAGTACTTTCTAATTGTGGACCATGAGTGGCAGAGTGCTGCGGGCGGAGGCTTTTTGCTGAAAGCAACATTGACTTTTCTTTTATTTCTAGGGAAAGTCCTGTCTGTAGATAAGCACGGTGGGACAATGGAGAAAATGCTGACTTGTTTTTTTAAAAAATCTTTTCTGTAAGCGCCCCTCCGATGGTCTGTCCACTCTGCGGGCCAGCTTTCCCAGGCCTCTGCCAGGGAGGGAAGAGGAGTGCTTCAGTGCATGGCTTCGGTGAGCCCTTTAAATCCAGCTTCCCCTTCCCCCACCAAGCGGCTCCCTCTCCCTGACAGGTGTTTTCCCAACTCCGGAGGCCTAGGATTTTGGGGAGTGGCTGAGCCAATGAGATTTCCCTTTGGGGCGGGGGGCGGGGGGGAAGGGCGTGGCTAGTTGGGTCAGAGCATGGGCGGGGTTTGCGCGGCTGAGCAGAGCCTGCCTGGTTGCGTGGAGGGTTGTTTTATTCCCACCGCCCCCCCACCTTTTTTTTTTTTTTCTTTTTTTTTTTCTGGAGTCTTATTAATTTCTCTGTGGGCTGCAGCTGGAGACCGCGGAGCGTTGGAAATGACGCTCGGAGCTTTAATTACCGCAGCCGCCGGACAAGTGTGAGGAAAGCTGACAGGAAAAAGAAGGACGGGATCCGGGGAGAAGCGAGAAGCTCCCCCCGCCCCGCTCCCCTCCCGATTTGGACTGGAGGTGCAAGGAAACTGAAGAAGGAGCAGAACATAGCCCGGCTGCGGGGAGAGGCCGGAAACCTACCGCCTCTTTGCAATCAACTTTTTTTGGAAACCTTTCGCCCCCCTTCCTTTTTTATTGTTGACCAACCAGTGAGAGAGAGAGAGAAAGTGAGGAGGCAGCGAGCAAGCGAAGGCTCACGCGGGGAAATAACTGCACAGTCCGGCCCGGAGCGCCACGCGCACACACCGAGCACACTCCAACACACGCACACTTGCCCCCTCTTCGGGCCCCGGCCCTGGACCCGCGGGCGCGGACTCGGTCGCCCGCCCTGGGAGTCGCTACACCGCGCGCGCCGCGCCCGCCCCCCTCGCGCCCCCACGCGCGCCCGGCTGGGGGATCTCCTCCGCGTGCCCGAAAGGGGGATATGCCATTTGGACATGTAATTGTCAGCACGGGATCTGAGACTTCCAAAAAATGAAGCCGGCGACAGGACTTTGGGTCTGGGTGAGCCTTCTCTTGGCGGCGGGGACCGTCCAGCCCAGCGATTCTCAGTCAGGTGGGTTCCTTCTGGCGCTCCGGTCGCCGAACCTGCCGCCGCCGGCGGGGCTGCCTTGAGTGGCTCCCCCGCCTTCTTCACCCATCCCGGGAGGCGTGGAGGGACCGCTCGACCGGGACTTCTTCCCTGGGCTCTCGGTCGCCCCTCTTTCCATTTGAAACTTACCCTGTATGTGTGCCTGTGCTTTATCGTGAAGAAATCACTCTGAGCCCCTCTTTTTTCTCCCCTTAACCCCCTGTTTTTCTTTCCCGAGCGTTTTGTGTGGGAGCCTAAGCGGGATCCCTTCTGGCGGCGCCTGTTGTTCGGGACATGGGAGACCCAAATCCCTAGTCAGAGGAGACTCTCCTGTCCCTGTCTGGTCCCTCCAGGGAAGAACCCGCACCGCCGGGGCCGCAGAGGGCCGGGGTCCTTGGGGAGGTGCTGGCTGGGCCTCTCCCGCGCCGAGCCTGAAGGGCGGTGGAGAGTGGCGCTCAGAGACCCGGGCTTTGCACCTGTGTGTGCTACCGGCGGCCGCTGCGCCCCCAGTCACCCGAGCCTTGTGGGGTCAGACGCGACTCGCACCCAGCCCGGGCAGCCAGAGTGCAGCGGGCGGGCGTGCCTCGGTCCGGGGTCTGGAGCTCTGGGCCTCTTCGGCCGGCTTCCCGGAGCCCTCGCCCCATTGACTTGAGGGGCGCTTGCTCGCCTGCATGACCTCTTAAAAAAAAAAAAAAAAAAAAAAAAAAAAGGCTTGGCACACTTGAGCCAGAAGCCGGGCCTTCCCGTCGGTTGCCGTGTTTGGCGCCTGGAAGAGTTCTTCCTGTAGTTCAACTTGCTATTGGCCGGAGTCCTTCAAACTTGTCTGTTTACTGCCTGGCCGGGCTGCCAAGCCTGCGGGTCACTGGATCCACCCGAGGCGCAAGCGGCGGCGGGTGCGCGGCCACTGTTTGCTGGAGAGCTCGAGCCCCAGGTACCTGGGCAGGCAAAGGGCTAATTGACCCCGAGAGGCAGCGCAGCGGGGTTGGAGCGTCAAGGCTTGCAGGACTAATGACAGCACCTGCAGTGCAAGGAAGCTCAAAGTTTCTGACACTTGAGTTTCCTGGGGATGAAAGTGGGACGGGAGAGGTCTGAGGAGGACCGGTGTCTGATGTGGCCAAGGGGTGCCTTTTGGAGAGCCAGGGAGATTGCTGAAACCATTCGGGGATGGTGACTGGAGCGTGGGAAGTAGCTTGAGGTGATAAAGCCCCCGGGAGTGGCGATAGGGAGCGCTTTAGGTCCCCGGAGGGTGTCCTTCTGACCTCACCAAGGAAACAGCAAGCTGTAGTTTTCCCGCTCCGCCCCCGCCGCCGCCGCCTCCTTTGCCTAGTAAACAAGAAGTTACAATCATCGAGGCTTTCAAAATGACCTTCGAATGGCACATGTGCGGCGTTTTGTGCTGGCTGTTTGCACCCTCCCAATTACTCCGAAATTCTTCACGCATACCAGGTCCCGCGCTCCAGCCACCTCCGGAATCACACCAACACGGACTTGACATTCCAAGCGGCCTCTTAGATACATCTCTTTTTATCTCCCTCCCCACTTCGAGTCCCTTCATATTTTCCCTCAATGGGTTGATTATACACATTGACCCATTCAAAGGCAGTGGCGACCGACATGCAGGCTTAGCCGAGAGGAATTTCTACGAGGCGACCTACTGGGGGCTGGCTGGTTCAGCCTCTGCCGCTGAGGGACCCCGCTCCGAGTCCGCAGCAATTTGGTATTAACTGTGCGGCTCCGGGTTGAGCTATGCCGAAAAGCCCTTTTCAGAATTTCTGCAAGGAATGTAATCCAAATTAGTTCTGCAGCTGTCCTCTTCCTCGTCTCAGGCGACACCAGCTCGCGCCCTCGCTCCTCTCTTCTCGTTTCGTTGGGCGAATTGTCAGACCCACAAGTGAGCCCATTTAGAGCGCGAGGATTAGCGTGCCATTGTTCCGTGTGTGACTCTGTACTTGAAATTCTGGGGGCACAAAGGCGAGTCTCACTTGTTCAAAACACAAAGTGATCCAGATGAAAGGGCCGTACAAAGAAAAACTCTCGGGTGCATCCCTGGTATAATTGCAACACGCATACTAAGGTGATTCATTGGAAACTGTAAATGCCCCGGGGACTTCTTTTTTCATTCTCCCCCACCCCCACCCTGCCGCACCTGGCAGGGAAAGTTCAGCTGGTTTTAATGCAGTGCTATTATAAAAACAAGTTACTGTCTGGGGTATGAGTGAGGCTGTGTGTGTTTGTGCCTATGTATGTGTGTGGCTGTGTGTTCCCAACTAAATACATATTGCGCGTCTCCCCTCTCGCGGTTAGCAGTCAGTAGCAGTTTGGAGGAGTTTGTTTTGGTCCAAATGAGAAATTAAGTGCGGATAAGTAAACTAAGCTGCCAGAGGGCGACAAGATGTTGAGTGAATTGCTTTTAGATGAAACAAATTAAGGAAACGAGGGAAGACAATCTGCTTCTCGCATTATTAGACACGCTTGGAGTTCAGGGGAAAGTGGCATATTTTTGAAATGCTAATTTCTTAAGAAGCAGAAGGAATGCACCTTATTTACTGCTCTATGTGAACAGAATAAAAATATAGGGCGGAGGATGCTGTTGTATAGATCTTTAAGATATTTTTTTAAATAATTGTACAGAAGAGGACTTTTTTTTCTTTTGCTTGGAAAAAATTCAGCTTTAGAGAAGGTGATTTTTTAGAAATTCTAAAGGACGTTGTCTCATTTTCAGTTATGCATTTTTAGATATATTATATCTAGACATATTATAGCCAAAGTCCCTTTATATGGCAATTATAAAGCCTTTGCTAACCAAAGGAATAATTCTAAAATTTATGTCTTCCTTGTATAATGGAAAATTATCAATATTACCTTTGTATTGAAGAAAATATATAGTAGTATTGAGGTGGTACTCTTACATACCTTAGTAGATAAATGAACAAGTTCAGTTCTCATTTCTTTTTTGCAGGTAACTCAGTCTTGCTTTTCATTCTATAAAAGTACATATAGCTTTCTTACATGTTTAAGATACATCATTATATCTCCAAAATCATGGGGTTATTTTTCATTTGAGAAGAAAAATGTTAATAAAAGTTATGAAAATGATGTTAAATATATTTTCAAAAAAGCATCAATTCTCTTTCTTACAGGTGTTTACTGTAAGCACATCTATGGGTACACTGTTTTCTTTTTAATTTGAAATTCTCATATATATGGGGGCTTTTTAGAAGGTGTTATTTTTTTCTTGACAATGTGTCTAAATAAATAAATATCTATTAGTATAACTGCAAATTGCTTGGAAATACTATAAATGTTCTGTTGTGATGAAATAACTCCGGTTATATCAATATTCCTTTTTTTTTTTTTTTTTTTTTTTTGCTGTTAAACTCAACTGCTTTTATTTATTTTAATCATGTGTGCATAGAAAGTGAAATTTTGCTGAAAATCAAGGCACTTACTGCTTTATATATATTTTTTCATTTAGTCACTGGAAATGTGTCTTAATTAAGAAATTACATTAGAATATTTATCAGAGCATGAACTTTGTGGAAGATTTATGCATTTTTTATTCTAACCTGAGCACAGTAAGTTTGCATTGGCTGATTTTTAGAGTTTGCATTTATTTGATGGAAAATCATATTTCCTCCTCAAAGTGGATTCAAATATTTAGTATTCATGAGCTTTCATCCCTTTGGTTTTTAAATAGAAGTACTATTTATCATCTGTCTTATGCATTCACCCTTTCTGTTACTATAGATTCTCTCTTTACATCTTAGTATTTATTGAGTTTACATGTGTTAATATATGTTTTCCCTTCCACCACTAAGTATATTGTTTTTGTGTGTGTCTTTCCCAGCAACCTGCCACTCAACCACTGCAGGAGTCCTCTGAGCCAGTTTTCATTCTTTCTGATAAATCTGATATGGCTGGTTGGCCAGACAATCGCAAGCCATTCCATTGCTCAGATTTATTCCTGAAAGAAAATAAAAAGGCATCGATCCAAGATCACTGGCACATCTTAAAAGCCTTGACTCCAAGGCCAAACCTTTCCACAGAGAAGTCCCTCTTACCCTTTTTCTTTCTTTCTTTTCCACTCTTGACCAAGGAAAGAAGGTGGACCACTGCCATTTAAAAAATGCTAGCGAGGCAATGAATTGTGCTATTTCTAAGTACTCTCTGAAGCTTGATTAGAGCCACCTTGAGATTAATAGCTACGCACAGTGCATATTTTAGACAATAAATTGAATTAGGATGGCTTAAACATTGCAATGCTTTAAAGTGGTATTATTTTTGTATTATATCAAGCTGGTTATTAGGAAAGGTTAACATGTTCTTAAAAATAGCCAGAAGTTCTGGCTTTATATTATAGTGTTCTGCTGCTGTTGGATATCCATGTATAGTTTGTAAGTGTCTAAAACATAAATGAAATAAATGATCAAAACGGATTTTCTGATACCTGCAAACTTGTTGGTACTTGCTCTGTTTAATTTTACCAGTTTTGAGAGACGCTGCTTTGTAGAGATGCTAATATTTATACTGAAATTAGTTTTTACAGGTTCAAGCCTACAGCTGTTCTACAGAAATTAATTATCAAGCAGATTCCACTGTTATCTTTTACAGTGATCTACTGAGTATCCTGTGCAGGGTAAAATTTAATCATATTAACAACTTTTCTCCAGGTTATATCATTTTAGAGATGCTCCATTATGTTACATTTCACCATATGGAACCAAATTACACGTTTTATCTAATACTCATTTTCTGAAGTATTATAAATATTGGCAGTCAGAGTTAAAACCCTACTTTTTATGATTTCTAATATAGCTATTGACTGGAGTTTTCAGTTTATAATGAAAAATAATCCCCTTTTATGAAAAAATTATAGGTCAATGTTTCCTGAAACTGTATGTCTTCAACATAATTTGAGGGAGACTTTAATTACCTGTTTTGTGGTTAAATGGGACACGGGACATAGTCACATGGTTTAAATCAGG